TTTCTTCACTTAGTAGTACCTCTTCTAGATCCCTCTTCAACTTCATCTCATTTCTCCCTCTTGCATGTTCATGGTTCTTTGGGACTCCTTCCCATCTAACTCCTCTATCTGGGTTAGCAAAGATGATTTTGATCTCTCTAATCTCCCAAAATGGTCTTTATTCCAATCCTTTGATCTCAAACTTCTTAATTTTTTGTGGAATCTCACCCCTTTCAACCTCACCCCACTTATATCTTCCCTCCACATCAATCTTCTTCACAAAGTCAAAGTGTGTCAGCCACATGTTTTCAAATCTGAAGGGTCGAGGACCAAGCCTAAAAGGTTCTTGTCCTAACTCAATGGGACAATGGTCAGAAGTAACTCTAGGTAAAGCTCTAGCTACTAAATCCCTCCAATGACTTTCCCAACTTTCATTAAAAAGAAATATGTCTAGCTTTGAGCAGGTTGGGGTTTCTTAGTAATTAGACCATGTAAAGTGAGCTTGTAATAGAGGAAGTTCCTTTAACTCGCAACAATTGATGAACTCATTGATCTTCCTAATACTAGTTGTTATAGCCTGATGGGGGTTGTTTGATTCATTAGTGAAGCGGATTACATTATAATCCCCCCCAACACCAAAGACCATCCCATAAACCCTGAATCCCTGATAATTCTTCCTAGAATTCATTCCTTTCTCTATAGTTACATGGTCCATACACATTGGTTAGTACCCAGATGAAACTATCCTCCACACTTCTAAACTTAAAGGATACTGAGAAACACCCTATTAATTCCTCCACAATCTCCACAACATCCTCTCTCCAAAAGGTGACAATACCCCTGAAGCCCCCAAAGATGGTGCTGAAACCCAACTAATTCCTCTAGATTTCCAAACACTTCTAGCCCATCTTCTGTCAAGTACAACTAACTTGGTCTCCTATATCATTACAATATCCGGCCTTTCCCTTCTAAGGAAGTCCTTTATTGCTCTTCTTTTCCTTGCACTGCCTAAGCCCCTCACATTCCAACTGATAATTTCATAGGAAAACAAAGAATTTGATACCCTCCTCAATTTACATGTCCCCTACTTAGGGATCTTCCTTCTATGTCAGAAATTAGTCTCTCCAACTCTGATCTTTTCTTTTTTTGATGGCTGTTTGCTTGTCCAGATTTGCAAGATAACACCTTTGATGCCTTTAGGGGATCCAATTTTCTGGGATTTTCCTCAGAAGATTCTTCTATAAGTTTATATTCCTCAAGAAGTACACAAACTTGTCCCCAAATCCTCTCCAATTCCTCCTGTAATTTTTCTAATTCGGGTTTTCGTGCCATAGTTACACAATCCTCAATCACACTATCAGAAGCTTCCTCTTGAGCTTTAATGTATTCTGTATTTCTTTCCAACCAGTCCTCCCTTTGCTTATATTCCTCAAAATAAAAACATATCTGATCCCAAATCTTCTCTAGCTCCTCCTCTTGTTTCCTTTTTCTCCTCAGTTCTTCCTCTTTCTCTTTGCCCTCAAATTCGACACCCAACAGCTCCCCTTCCCTGGTCATTCCTTGTGGTTGGGGTGCAGAGGTACCTGTTTCAGGGACAATACCCATATCAGTACCCAAAAACAAATTGACAGACGTACCTGGACTTGTGGAGGAAACAAAGAAGCTGGAGTCCCAGAATGGGGAAGTGGTTCAAGGATGGATCCTTCCCTAAGGTGCAACTGTGGGATCAAGTTTGGTTCAACCGAAGCTATGTTAGTCATAGCAGCCGAAGTGACCTTTCCAAGTTGTTCCCCAAATGATGAATTTACATTCAACGGCATAGGAGAGTTCTGTTCCACTACACCGCTAACCGGCTTGTGCTGCTCTGCTGAAATGGGATTATTTTTTGGTTTAGGCATACCTAACTCTGAACCCAATGTATCTTCACTGCCATACTCCTCCTCCTCCATTCAATTCTTTTAATCTCATTTCTGTAAACCCACATAACTTCTCCATTCTTAATCAACTAATCTCTTAACATTAATACACTGAACTTACGAGACAACTTTGACAGTCCAGATCCTTGGGTTAATTTGGTTCAGCATTTTTTTCGATATATTTTTCGAATTTGGGTACATTTTGTTGAATTACCACTTCCATAGTTTAGGTTAATAAAACCATTGAACATCACTTGGATTTTCAAGATTTGTTGACTGATCTTGAGGTATGAATGGCTTATCAAAAAAAACATCTTGAGATATGAATTGAATGGTCAAGATCTTTAGTTAGATAATCATGACTAGAAATCTCTATTATAAATATCAAATGGTATGCCTATCAAAAAAATGGTATAAATGGATAAAGAGCAAAAGTTGTCATCTAAAGTAAGACAAGGGCATTTTAAGATTTTAGAAATGTCTAACAGAGCACATTACATATGAGTGAGTATACAAGGGGTGCCTGTTATCTACCCAAAAATAAATTTGAAATAGCAAAGTTGCAAAAGCTACCTCACAAAAGATCCCATAAAGCCCTTTCGGGCAAGCTTTACCAGTAACAGTTCCACTTTCTCCAGTCTGGCCTTTATCCCTTCCTAATCCTCCCCTGTAACAAAAACAGATCAGTCAAAATCCAAATATTAAGGCAGAATCCCACTCAAAGGAAATGTGGAAAATATATTCGGTAAGGGTGCGTAATTGCGTTGAGACTTTAACTATCTTTAAAACTTTCTCTATAGGCATGTTCTTTCTCTATAGGCATATTCTTTCCCCGGTTACTGGGTAACTCATACCCATCTCCCAGGGGGTAGGTAACTTTCCCATCTGGGGGGAAAGTTGCTAACACTTGGATGGGACAAAATTGCCCCTTTTAATAATGGATTTTTATGGTTAAAACAGTCGTTTTCTTATTTACTTGGAAAATAAAAGAACATGGATAAGTAACTTCCCGAAAAGCGAACGGGGCCTATATGGCATTGTACAAAGATGGCCAAATGTAACCAACTCTTCTGGCACAAGGACAGCCTCACTCTTCACTTGGATGACTCCCTTTTTTTTGATAAGCAAGACAACACCCAATGTTAATCAAGTAAAGCTCAATTTTGATGGGAGTATCATGGGAAAACCAGAGAGGTCGGGCATTAGCGGTGTATTTAGAGATTCATCATGGGCTGAACTTTTGGCTGTACATGTCAAAACTGCTGGAATAGACCAACAGAAGGCAGTTAATCAGTTTTACAAGAGGAGGCCACGTCAGCACAACTAACCATCCACTTGTAACAACTGCCTTGTAACAGTCAAGATTGTAAAACTATAAGTAGTAGAGCAGAAAAGGGAATAGGACATTGATTCTTTCAGCATTAAACTCTCTCTCCCTCTCTCTCTCTCTCTTCTTCCAAGAATTCAGGAGGTTGGCCCCTCGAAGAGCCCTGAGTTAGGCAGGTTCCTAACAATTTGGTATCAGAGACAGCATGACCAACACAAGAAACACGTCAGTAGACACCCGAGTGGATTAGATGGAGGTAGAGATCCATTAAATGTCTTCAAAACTCAAAGAAATGAAGGAACGCTTCACTGCTCTCCTCCTTCGACTGGAGCAGGGGGCAACGAAGATGGACAGAGGAAGCCAAGAAGAGCACAGCAATGAAAACAGCCGCAGAACAGGGGCGGCAACAAGAAAAGCCAAAATCGACTTCCCCATCTTCTTAGGCGGCGACCCAACTCCCTGGATTCTTAGAGCCGAAAGGTATTTCGATTACCATGAAACACCGGGGCAAGATAGGGTAGCTATGGCTTCTGCGCATCTTGAAGGGGAAGCTATCCTCTGGTTTCAATGGTACCGAAGGGGGCACCCTCGTCAAACCTGGGCAGACTTCACGGACGCCATGACTGTCCGTTTTGGATCATCTGGGTTCAAAGATCTTGATGAAAATTTGGCAAAGCTGCAGCAGGTGGGATCAATAAAAGAATACCAGATGGAGTTCGAAAGGCTGGCCATGAGAGTCCAAGGGTGGACGGAGAAGGCGTTGGTGGGAAGCTTCGTCTGCAGCCTAAAAGAAGAACTACGACTGGAAGTGAAAGCGATGCAGCCCACTTCGGTCATCAATGTGGCAGCACTAGCCAGATTGTATGAGGACAAGTTCAGTCGAGCAAGAAAGGTGCAGCGACCATGGGGTCCCGGAGCAAGAAGGGAGCAAGAAAGGACGACAGCACTAGACAAGGAGGAAGGAGTACTAGGCCCAGGCCCACTGGTTCCTTTCAAACGGCTGACCTGGGCAGAGATGCAAGCCCGTAGAGACAAAGGTCTCTATTACAACTACGAAGAGAAATTTGGGTCGGGCCATCGCTGCAAAAAACAACAAGCGTTTCTCCTCCAAACAGATGTTGAAGAGGAAGACAACATCACCAGTTGCGGAGAATCTAACCCGGGGTGGGAAATACAATCCGATGGCACGCCTGAAATATCCTTACAAGCCCTTACGGGACTTGCGTCCCCTCAGACAATGAGAGTTGCAGGTCTAATCCTAGGACGCCAAGTGTCAATCCTCATAGACAGTGGCAACTCCCTTAACTTCATAACTCAAGTCTTGGTGGATAAAATGGGGCTTCCGGTTCAACCAACAACGGCCTTTACGGTTCTTGTGGCCAACGGTAACAGCCTATCTTGCAATAGCATTTGCATGGGCCTACCACTAAAGATTCAAGGTCATCAGTTTGCGATGGACCTATATCCTCTCCATCTCAGTGGAGTGGACGTGGTGCTAGGCATTCAATGGTTAGGACAGCTAGGACCCGTGGTCTGTGATTGGGCCTGTCTCACCATGGACTTCACATCAGAAAACTCTACAGTCCATCTACAAGGGCAAACATGCAAGGGCCCAAGGCCCATCAGTCTTGCAACACTGACAAAGCAAAGAGCAGATCCAGATCAGCCCATATTCATGCACATGGACTCGAATTGGACCCGGCCATCCTTAGCTAACAACAGCCCAGATGGGCCTAGAGACTTCCAAAGCCACCTACAACAACTCCTTCAGCACTATGGCAACGTGTTCAAAGAACCCCAAGGACTGCCACCACGCCAGGAGCATGACCACCGCATCCCCCTCATGTCGGGATCAGCCCGACCAATGTAAGACCCTACCGATACCCTTACTTTCAGAAATCTGAAATCGAGAAGCGAGTTCAAGATATGCTTAAGCAAGGGATAATACAGCCGAGTCACAGCCCATTCTCGTCACTGGTACTATTAGTCAAGAAAAAGGATGGGACGTGGTGGTTTTGTATTGAATACAAAGCCCTTAACAGCATCACCATTAAAGACCGATTCCCGATACCGGTCATTGATGAGCTGCTTGATGAACTCAGTCAAGCCACCATATTCTCAAAACTGGATTTACGAGCTGGGTATCATCAAATAAGGGTACATAGGGAGGATGTTCACAAAACAGCTTTCAGGACACATGATGGCCACTATGAGTTACGGGTCATGCCATTTGGGCTGACCATATTTATGTACGTTCATCCGTGTTATATTTGATGACATATTGGTCTACAACCCCAATTGGGAGGAACATCTGAACCATCTACAGGTCACCCTTGCAACACTTGAGGCCCACCAGTTGTTCGCTAAAGAGTCCAAGTGCTCCTTTGGACAAAACCAAGTTCACTACTTAGGACATGTTGTAGAAAAGGGGACTGTAGCGGCTGACCCAGATAAAATCTCCAGTATACTGGGCTGGCCGCTTCATCAAAAACTACGGCCTAATAGATACCCCATTGACCCAATTGCTGAAACATGACGCTTTTAACTAGTCAAACCAGGCCCAACAAGCTTTTGAGCAATTGAAACAGGCGGTTGCGAGCCCTCCAACATTAGCACTGCCCGATTTCACAAAAGATTTCATCATTGAGTGTGATGCCTCCAGTCAAGGCGTTGGGGCTGTTCTCATGCAAGAGGGGCAACCACTAGCCTTTTTCAACAAGGCCTTAACATCACAAAAGTGGGCCAAATCAGTTTATGAGCGAGAATTAATAGCAATAGTCTTAGCAGTCCAACGTTGGCGATCCTACTTGATTGGTACACGGTTCATAATTCGGACCAACCATCAAAGTCTGAAGTTCTTATTGGATCAATCAGTTCTATCCCCGGAACAGCAACGTTGGATATCCAAGCTACTGGGATACGACTACAGAATTGAATACAAAGCAGGGGCTGCTAACCGAGTGGCGGACGCCCTCTCACGGCACCAACAGTCATTTCAGTTACTAGTATCTTCCCCAACTTCTCCACTCCTGGATATACTGCGAAAAGAATCCCAATCCCATAAAGAGTTACAGCAGTTGAAGGCCCAAGTATTGGCAAATCCCTCACTGCACCCCGGATACACAATTAAGAATGATGTACTCTTCTTCAAAGGACGCCTGGAAATCCCGGCAACCTCTGCCCATCTCAGGAAGCTCTTGGAATTATTCCATGCCTCACCCACGGGTGGCCACTCCGGCATCCTACGAACACAAAAGCGCATCGCCACACAATTTCATTGGAAAGGCATGCATACATCTATCCAGAACTTCATAGTCGGGTGTGCAATATTCCAACAAAACAAGTCAGCCACTACAACACCAGCAGGCCTCTTGCAACCACTCCCAATACCAACCCACGTCTGGGATGATATATCAATGGATTTCATCACAGGATTGCCCGTTTCTGCTAGCAAAACAGTTATCCTTGTGGTAGTAGATAGACTAACAAAATACAGTCATTTCCTACCTCTATCACACCCATTTACAGCAGCCACAGTTGCTGAATTATTCCTCCGAGAGATTGTGTGCCTACATGGGCTCCCCAGCTCAATTGTATTAGACAGGGCCCTATCTGATGGACAGACAGAGGTTAAACTATTCAAGTCAACTAGCTACCACCCCCAATCTGATGGACAGACAGAGGCGGTTAACAAGGGTCTCGAAACATATCTGAGATGCTTCGCGGGAGATCGACCAAGACAATGGGTGAAGTGGATCCACTGGGCTGAATGGTGGTACAACACCACTTTCCATAGCGCCGCGGAGATGACACCATTCAGATCTTTATGTGGTCGGGACCCTCCCCCTATACTTCCTTATGAAAAAGGAACCACCACAGTAGCGGCCGTTGAAGAACAGCTAACGCAACGGGATGAGGTGCTAAGGGAACTGAGACATCATCTCTTACAAGCACAGCAATGGATGAAGCACACCTATGATAAACACCACAAGAATGTCCAAATGAAGTAGGTAATTGGGTGTTTCTCAAATTACAACCCTTCAGGAAGATTTCAGTTGCAAGCCGACAGTGGAACAAACTCAGCCCGCGCTATTTTGGCCCATTTAAAATCCTGGAGAGAATAGGATCAGTGGGATACAAACTGGACCTTCCGGCAACATCCAAACTGCACCCTGTATTCCATATTTCCTTACTGAAGAAGGGGCCGAAGTCAGAAGTCATTACAAGTGCAACCCTTCCCATATTTTCAAAAGGACAGGTGCAGACTGAGCCAGCCCGCATCATTGATTTCAGATGGGTGCGTCGGGGAGGCAGAGTCATACCAGAGGCATTAGTTGTTTGGTCTAACCTTCCGGAAGGACAAGTGCAGACTGAGCCAACCTGGGAATCCTACTTAGATCTGCAATCAAATTTTCCTACATTAGACCTTGAGGGCCAGGTCGCTCTAAAGGAAGGGGGATTGTCAAGACTGCTGGAACAGACCAACAGAAGGCAGTTAATCAATTTTACAAGAGGAGGCCACGTCAGCCAACTAACCATCCACTTGTAACAACTGCCATCCACCTATAACAATTGCCTTGTAACAACTGCAACAATCAAGATTGTAAAACTATAAGTAGTAGAGCAGTAAAGGGAATAGGACATTGATTCTTTCAGCATTAAACTCTCTCTCTCTTCTTCCAAGAATTCAGGAGATTGGCCCCTCGAAGAGCCCTGAGTTAGGCAGGTTCCTAACAGTACACCAAGGAATAAAACTTGGATAAGCTCTAAACTATTGAAACCTGATTGTGAAAGGCAATTCCAAAGTTGTTGTAAACTCTTTCGTAAAACAACCCAAGACCATGGCAATACCAACATGTAGTAAGAGAAATAAGGGAGCTGGCACAAGATCTAAGAGTTCAATTCTTATGGACAAGAAGAAAAGCAAACAATTTGGAAGATGTCTTAGCCAAACAAGGGGTGAACAGGGCACAATTGTATTGGGGAAGGACAGCTCAGTATTAAAACATCTAACCTTATAGATGGACAAGAATGTTTTAAGGGCAACAGTAGGGTGCTCAGCACTTGTATTTTACATTGACATTTTCCACTTAATTAAATGGATATTTACAAACCTCTTTTTAAGAGTGAGGCAGCACTTTGCACCTCTCCAGGATGCTTGTATCAGATCTATCGTTTGATTAATGAAATCATCTTTCTATTATCAAGAAAAGTGGATATTTACAAATCAAAAAAAAAAAAATCAAATGTTTCCAAAGGACCACTAGATGGAAAAAGAAAAAAAAAGGAAAAAAAAAAAAAACTAAAAGGCTAACATTAAAAACATATACCAGACACCAATTTGCAGAGATACAGAAGCATAAGGAGGTTCTTTTATTCTCTATGTGAGAATGTCACAAGGATTCAGCATCTGCATCAGAATCACCTTCATACAAGTATTGCTAGGCATAAGTTACAATTTTTTTTGTGAACAAATGCACAGATTTTCAATGGTTAGAAAGTCTTACCAAGAATCTGGCAAAAATTTTAAAAAAGCCAAGATTTCCAAAACATGAAAAACATATATCAGTTGTTTTCACAAGCTTTGATAAGAAATCTTGATGCTTGTCCTATTTAGTATTCACAGAAACAACACACAAAAAGTGCAAAATAAGAGTCTTTCTAAACATATAATGAAATAAGCAGTTAAATGCACCTTCTGTATATGCTTCCTTTAACGCTTGCTATAGGTTGATATTCATCACCTGTAGGAATGTCAGACCAATCAAAGTGAATCCTACCACCACCACCACCACCACTACCACTGTGACTACCATGTCCTCCAACACTTGAAATAATAGCAGTCTCTCCAAGGGTCAGCGTACGCAAAAACAAAAGAATAGTTCCTCCAGATCCACCTCCAGGGCCTCCATTTAAACTATCCAAAATCCCATAACCATGCTTTCTAATGCTCTGCCCAAAACTTTCTCCATCTGCTCTAAGTGAACCATAAATGGATAAACTTGACAAAGAATGCTCTAACGAACCCATCACTGTTCAAGGGACAATGAAAATGCAAAAACGAAGCAAAAATAATCAGTAAAGAAAAAGTAACTACAAGACCAAATATATGAAAAGCCTAAAATATTTGTTACCAGGTTCCCATGCACATAACTCAAATGGCAGGCTAGCATGTTTTACTCAAATCAGAGACTTAATAGAAATGAATGAAATTTGCCTTGTATCTGATAGTTGAAATTAAATGGAAGGAAGAAATATTATCTATGAACTAGGCCATAATTCCCTCCATCAATATCAACTGTTATCAACAGGGAAACAACATAAAGATTATTGTGAGTACATGCAGATCATGAAGGCTGAATATAACTACCAAGATAAGGATGCTTGAAAGATGCATACATATCAAAATTGGACATAAAAATAAAATGGAATAAAACAAAAGGAAATAACAGCAGTTTGCTCCAGAGTCCAGACTCCCTTGAGATAATTAAAGAGGGAACTCTGAGAAGCAAACTAAAAGATGTAGACTTCAAAGAGGAGTCTAAAGAAAAAGAACTCGGTGGGTTTTATTTATGGACACAGATATGGGAGCCACGTGTTCCTTCAGAGGTAGCTGTTATGTGTAAAAACAACTTCATTAGAGAAATGTTTGACAAAGGGTCATTTAACATCCAAGGGAATGGCTATCACAGATCTGACTTGCCCACTCGTTATGGAGGTTCATCAATCAGGAAGCCACTTATTCTTTCATTGCAGAATAAGCTTTGCTTTTGGGGCCAATTCCCTAGAAATCTTTGGTCTAAGTGGTGCTTCCTGAGGTCACTAAAGGAGTACTCTGGTTGATGTTACATAATGAAGTTGAGCAAATAAGGGAATCCATTCTGGGACATTGTTCCATTGGTTACATGAACTATTTGGGAGGAGAGAGAAAAGGACATTCAACAACATACACTCCCAGCTGATGCTATCTTGAGATAATCGATAGGCACAGTACAATCTCAGATAGTGGCCTACAAGGAATTAAGGGAACTTCATCATTCCCTTTTTTTTTATTTCTGGTGAAGGGCAACACAACTGGGGGGGGGATAGTCCATCCCCCAACCCAGGTGCACGCGGGATTTGATCCCAAGTCTCTGCTATGACCAGCAGGGAACTTCATCATTCTCAATATTTTAAAAATGGGTGCTGTATATGCATTATTCTTTTCGCTATAACAACAGAAATCTAATTTCTCCTTTAAAAAAAAAGAAAAAAGACTTTGGTATTTTGTGACAAGTGGGTGATGGCATTTTCCCCAGAAGGTTTATGGTTTTCAATTATTAGGAGCAAGTATGGACTAAAGTCCAAACTCAAACAGGTGGCACCATAAGACTCTTTTTGTGAGGAGTGGTTGTTGACATTTTCACCAGGAGGTTAATGGTTTTCAATTATTAGGAGAAAGTATGGACTAAAGTCTAAACTCAAACAGGTGGCACCATAAGATTTTCTTTTTAGATCTTTACCTTTTTGTCATCAGTGAAATTCATCTTAATTCCTTCATCAACCATTATGATATTTTGATAACATGCCTTCTGTGGGAAATTAGAACCCCGCAAACTCTTATCTGGTAATCTTGTTCCTACTTCCTAGTGTAGTCATGCTATTAATTTTCAAGTATTTTATATGAATAAAGATACTAATAATAGAATAATTATTTTAGTACTTAATATTTATAAATTTGAACATGATATGTATCTTAAAATTTTATAAATTATTAATTAATATTTTAATTTGAACTAAATAAAAGTATATATATTATTTATAAAAATAAAAATATTATTTACAAAAAACCTCAAGAATATAATATAAATTGAATTTGTCAATTCCAATAATCTATATTCATATCAAAAATGATTTTTTATCTCAAAACTTATGGAAATAAAAATATTAAGAATGAATTTGCATATGATGTGTATCTTAGAAATTTTAATATATTTGATATATTTTAAGTTAATATTATTTTATAAATTTTTTAATTTATATTTTAATTACATTTTAAAATAACGTATTTATTGCTTACAAAAATAAAAATATTGTTAACTAAACATTTGAGAATTAATTTTTAGTTGACTTTCGGTTAATATTAAAAATTAAAAATAGTAAAATAGAAAATAATCAATATAATAATTCACATATAATAGTTGCATATGTTTTGTGCCTTGAAATTCAGTAGAAAATAACATAATAATAGCTTTATGCATGTACTAATTTGTAAAAAAATATATAATATGTTCCAGGATTCTTGATTGATACATTATCAATAAAAGTTTATGATTCTTATGCATCCCGCTATAAAATAATCAATATAGTAATTCACATATAATAGTTGCATATGTTTCGTGCCTTGAAGTTCAATAGAAAATAACATAATAATAGCTTTGTGCATGTATTAATTTGTAAAAAATATATATAATGTGTTCTGGGATTCTTGATTGGTACAATATCAATAAAATTTTATGATTTCTATGCATCCCACTATACTAATTGTAGTATATTTCTTCACATATACCTTTAGAATATACATTTTCTATGTATCTATATATTAATTATGGCTATTTTGATCTTAAAAATAATGATATTAATTAATTCATGGAATTTATATGCATTTTTCAGCGTATCCATATTTTTTCATCTGTATCCATGTGTTTCCAAAGCGTATCCTTATCTGTATCCATATCCAAGTGGTCCGATACGATACCCGATACCGATACTTTAATCCTTGCCTAGAAGAGAATAGATGGGTACAATAACAAATAAATTCTCTAGGTAGCACCACTCCTCAAGAAAATCAAAGGCATCTTCAAGTCAGATTCCAAGCATCCAACATTTGTAACAGGGGTCATGGATTGTAGGCACTAGAACCTAAAGGCACTATTTTCAAATAATGAAAGATTTCATTAATGATTAAAAAGGAAAGCATAAAGAAAGGGCACCCATCCCTAAAGTGCCAGGGGCCCCAGCCCAAATGTAACAGAGACACCTAGTAGCATGTTGACATCCAAACCTTTCTGTCAAGCCATTGTCAAAATATGAATAATCAATCACCTTGTCTGAGAAATTGTGGGTACCTCATGTTACTCCCAAAATGAGAGAGCATAGCAGTCACTTTTCATATTTGAAGCTACATGACACTAACAAAGCAGAAATATTAAAGTAGTCAAGGGTGATCCAACCACCACATTGAGTTGGAAACAAGGGCATGTGTTAGAAACAGAGCAGCTTTGCAATAACAATAAAAACAACAACAATACTAACGGATAATGCTTATTAAGTTGATTATGTCCATAGGCTTACCTATGATACCACCACCAGCAGTTGAACCACCTGTGTCATCATTTCCACTTCCACTACCAAGTTCACAAGGCAAATCAGCATTTCCATATGCAACACCACCATCAATAAAACTTCCATTGTAATATCCATCCCCACCTTTACCACCATGCCCACCACCACTGCCAACTCCATCACTAAAAGCCATACCTCTACCTACACCACCTGTACATCCTGCACACTCAGAATTAAAATTCCATGGAAAAGTTAAGTTCAATCCCCCACAAAATGGATAGTTTGTATTTTCTCAGATAAGCAAGATAGGTAAATTTTCAATATACAAAAGATGTAAACAGATAAAAAAAAGTATTGAAGGATCAATCTTTGAATTAAAAGAATAGAGAGGATTTAGAAATCATACCCAATCCAGATGTGGTTATTATACCAGATGATTGAACAACTACAGTTCTTGCCCTGTGGAAATGAACAACAGAACCTTTTATGAGGCCTTCAACAGTAATATCTTCAACTCGGCAGATCTGCATGGGCAGGGTAACAAAACCATTAAACAAATGAAAACACAATCTCTAACACTGCATAATGAGCATCTTATACTATTTTTAACTAGATAGTTAATTGTTAATCAAAAGGATGACTCTTCTTAGTGATTGATCAAACAAAAGCCACACCTGAAGAGTAAAGGACAATGAAGAGTTCACATTGCAATCTTCAGGTGGATGAAGCAGTTCTGCTGGGCAATCCTGGAATTCACAGTAGAGCTTTGGTGTCCTACCATATATCAGAAGAAAGAAATTCAATTAAGCAAACAAAAAGTAGGAAACACTTTATGTTGAGGGATCATATAAATAAAAACTTACACAGCATCAGAGGTTGCATTTTCCAAAGGACCCTGAAGAACAGATCCAGGCCCAACCTACATGTGAAACAGAAGAATCATTCCATGAGCATGCATATAAGATACTGCAAATGCCAATTCTGCATATTACATAATTCCTTTTATAAGATTCTGCATATTACACCTCTATCCCAAGTGAATTAGTGTGGAAGGAGATTGCTCCTTCCAAAGTGAACTTTTTTTTCTCAGGTTGCTGCCAAAGAAAAAAAGCCTCTCTAGGGATATGCTTATTAGAAAAGGCAATAGCCTTCCAGACTGTTTATGTGTTTTATGTAACAAGGAGGTGGAAACTTCCAATCACTTGTTTATCCTTTGTGAGTTCTCTATTGGTATTTGGTATCACTTCTTCAAGGTAATCTCCTATCAGAGCTGCATGCCTAATCACTCAAATCTCTTCTCAAAAGTTGGATAGTTGGAAAAATGTGCAAGAAAGAGAGGATACTCTGGTCGGCATTACCTCTGGCTGTTCTGTGGGCCATTTGGGTGAATGAAATAGGAGGGTTTTTGAACAGAAATTCTTTCAAGAAGAGCAGCTGATTAACATAATAGTGGAGACTCTTAGGAGATGGTTAAGTGTCAATCCTCTATTTGTGCAGGATGTTTACTCTTCTTTGTTAGCTGTTGATTTTTTTGGGGGGCGTGAAAGGAAGGTGTTCATATGTACAGAATTTTCTTGTACAGTGAACAGTCACACTTGTATTCTTTTTTTTTTTTGTTAAGACAAATTAAGTAATGAAGCAAGGAACATATTGTCCTCATCAAATTAAGTAATAAGAAAAGTGACCTCATAATCTTTTTAGATATCAAAACCCTTACCATTAACGATTGATTAAAAAATACAAGTGACCAATATATCTCTATTTCTTGTGAATAAAGCTCAAATGTTTTGGGAACAAATGTAAAATTGCCCCTTGCATCCCAACAGAAAGAATGGGAAAGGTAGAAATAGTTAGAAATATCTTCAGGCACTTGGCACTTATTGTACATCAAATATAAAACCAATGGAAGCATTTGGCTATCCTAATTCCTATACCAACCGCTAAGCTTATTGGGGTGCTTGGCACTTATTAGGTTACCAACGAATGGAAGCATTTGGTAACAAAACCTTGCACTATAAAATTGATTACTCATGATACTATGATAATCATCCTCCAAGTCCCATTGGAGAGAAAACAGAACATGAGATAGCTTTAGAAGAATCCATTAAACCACTAACTTTCCTTTAGAAGGAGAAAAGAAATCCTTGAGACTCTTTGCATTCGTTTTATGATGTCTACGTCATATTACCCATCAGTTTGAGATGCCATCAGTTCTTGGAAAGCATTTCTATGAAATGTAGGAGTTACCCTCTGTGGAAAATGATGCCTTTAATTGTCTATTGGAGCATGTGGAAAGAAACGAAAGGTCTTGCAAATGCCTGGATGCTGATGATAGTAGCTATCTCATGGATTGGCAATTCACTTACCTAGATTTTGTGGGTGTAATACTAAATAAAATGAACTTTGTACAAGGAAATACACTGTAAAGTCTTTTCAGAGTGAGTTGCCCTTTTTTATCAATAATGGCAGAAATTATTAAGAATAATAAACTTTAATTACAAGAGAGGGGGAGGTAAACTTTCTTAACTCCCCCATTTTAGCAAAACAAAAAATACAAGATTAGAAATGAGCCCAAAAGAAAGATCCCCTATTCACCCCTTGCTTGGCTAACCCATCAGCAAATGAGTTAACAGCTCTCTTTACCCAACTGTATTTCACCTTAATGTCCCTAGGCAGCCATTTTTTTCTTTTCATTGCTGTAGTTCCAGATACCAGCGTTATCTTCCTTTAGCCATCTCACCATCAGAAAGTGAATTTCCTTTTTTCTACTACTCCATAATCATATGTAATCCAATCCCTCCAAGAGTTGAAGCTTTTGCATGGTTGTAGAAATTGACAACATACAAACATGGATCAGTTGAAGACGAGGATTTGACAAGACAAATATGTGCGTAATGTGCAGAAGGGAAGAGGGAAGTGTCCACTTCTTTTGTAAGTACAGCTGGAGGAGTTCTTTTGGAAGTTCTTTATAACTTTCAAGAAGCAAAGATCCAACTCAACCAAATGAAATTTTCTAATTTGGCTTAAGAGGTTATAAGAGATTAAAGATTTTATGAGCCACAATTCCCATAGTTGTGTGTTGGGGTGTTTGAAAAGAAAGAAACAGACAAGTCATTTTAAGACAAATATAGACCAAGAAGAAAATTGGTGCTAGATAATTGCTCGACAGTGGCTGAATGGATTCTTTGTTATCCTGATGTGAACAAAAGGGAACTTCAGTCAGATTTATGGGTTATAACAGTGTTAATTAAGAAATGAGTCAAATGTAAATTGTATTTTGGGTTTCTTGTTTAGGGTCAATATTTTGGTTGTATTTGTTGAAATCTGTTCACAGGCATCGTAATCTCATTTCTCCTTCTAATGAAATTTCTTTCTTTACCATCAAAAGTATATGCATAAAGGATTTTTTTGCCTGTCAAAACAGTGAATACAACATTTTCACTTCCACAGAAAGAGACAAATGCAGCCTTGTTGGAGCACTGCTTTCCCCCAATGAGAATTTTTTTTTTGACAAGTAAAGAGAAATTTTATTAATTCATAAGTTCAAATTGATACAAGCATCACTTGGAGAGGCACGAGCTGTGACCGCTCCTAACAAAGTACAAAGTATAAGTTTACACCTGAGCCCAAAACAAATGTTCCCTATTTGCCCCTTGCTTGGCTAGACAATCAGCCAATGCTTTGATGATCTCCCCACCCATTATATTCTTTTTTTTTTTTTGAAAAAAGGTAAGGTAATTTTATTAAATCAGGAAAAATCATACAAGAGGATCCCCACCCATTGTATTCTTGTAGACATATTACGTGTTAGTCACCTAAATTTCTTGACTTCGTTCTTGTAAGTACCACACAACAATTTCTGGGTCTTCAACCAGCTCACTACCACCTTGGAATCCCCTTCAATCAAAAGCTGCTCCACACCTAGTTGATTTGCAAACTGCACTCCTTGTACCGCATCTAGTAATTCTGCCCTAACAGAGCCACCAATTCCCAAGGGACCCAAGTAGAAAAGCACAATTTCTCCAATTCTTGCAACCCCTCCCATACCAGAGGGACCTGGGTTGCCTTGACTGCTACCATCAAAATTCAGCTTCAAAGAGCCTTCAGGAGGGAGTGCCCAGCTTGCTACCACCCTATTCTTTGTGGAAGAACACCTTGCTACTGCTGCCCAATTCCTCCATGTAACATTAAAGGAGTAGCAAAATGTTTCATGGTTTTTCCTCTCAATCCTTAAACGTTGCATCTTCCCCAAAAAGTAACTTTTGTTAACACACATATTTCCTTGATTAAGGCTTGCAGAAATGAAAGCATATGATAAATATCATTTTCTACTTCGATGTTATAGAAGGATCAATGATACAGGATCAGGAAGGATAGGGCATGGAGAAGGTGTCTGAAAAGGAACTACATCAAATTTGAATTTTAAGCATCTATTGACACAGAAACAATTTTGAAAGTGTACATGTAACAAAGTGAGGATAAAGCATCCCAGCCACTGAGAAATAATAACATATGGCTCTAAATTACCTGCAGTGGAGTGCTTTTTCTATTTTCTGAAAAAAGGTAAAGTATAATTGTATTACTGAAATAGGAGTGAAAAGCTCCCAAATTACCTGCAGTGGAGTGCTTATGGAACAACTTTTTAGGCATTTGATGACCACAGGACAATGAGTACTCCATTACTTTAATTGATCAAAAATGCTATTATTTAACCTACAGATGCTTCCAAGATATGAAATGCACAAAACTTACATGTGTAAAGAGAATTCTGGAAATTCAAGGAACAGGTGCAGAAAATACACATCCATTAAGACATTTATCTTTAATCAATAATAGAAATTTTAATAATACCAAAGAGTGCACAGTGCACTATAGAAGGAACTGCAATGCAGTAATCAGCAGCTTATGGCATAGGACTGTGTACATCAATTTACAAAGTTAATACATATGACTATATTGATTATGGATAATTACATGTTCACCAAAGACACCAACACTGAATCTTGTTTTATAATGTAACATGGCTTTGATGGCCATTTTCAACCAGACATTAAAGAATTTCATATTGGAGTGCACTTCCACCAAAAAGAGGATTTACATCTATATGTTTTTTTTTTTTTGATGAATAAGGATAGTTTTATTACTTCAAAAGAGAAAGAAGATCTCATACAGCAGCCTGTGGAGAGGGGCACAAGCTGCAGCTTCTCTCAACTGATTACATAGAAACTTAAAAGGAAAAGGATGAACATTGCAGCTGAGCCCAAAACAAAACTTCCTTTTTTGTTCCTTGCTTAGCTAAGCCATCAGCCAAAGCATTTTCTGATCTCCCCACTCATTGTGTACTAACAGATATATTCCCTGTCAGCCACTTAAATTTTTTGAATTCATTTCTATAGCACCATATACTTTCCTCAGGATTCTGTAACCACCCCACCACCACCTTGGAGTCCCCTTCTATAACAAGCTGTCCTACTCTTAACTGATTTGCGAGCTGCACTCCTTGTATGGCTGCTAATAGTTCTGCTCTGACTGAATCTCCAAATCCCAAAGGACCTGAATAAAGCAGTAAAAAATCTCCAGCCTCATTTCCCAAGACCCCTCCCATTCCAGAGCACCCTGGATTGCCCTGACTACTACCATCAAAATTCAGTTTCATTGAAACTTCAGGCGGTGGTGTCCATTGTGTAGATGCCTTAGTATTCCCAGAAGAGCACCTTGCCACTGCTAGCCAATTTCTCCACAAGTCTGAAAAGGAAAAGTGATGGAAAAGTTCCATAGTCTTCAGCCAGTGGATTGCCCTATTCATCACACACTCCTTCAAATCTTGACTGCTCTCCTTGTCTTGAAAGATTCTAGCATTCCTTTCTTCCCAAATTGTCCATAGCAAGGCTGCTCTAGCACATCTCCACATAAGTCTCCCTCTTTTTTTGGGCCAGCTGAAGGTAGAAGGGTTAAAGATCAAGCACACTTCTGCTGGCATGTTCCCCCTACACCCAAACAACGAAAAAAGCCAATCCCATAATTCTACGGAGAAAGGACAGGACATTAGTAGGTGATAACTATCCTCCCTGTGAGCTCTACAGAGAGGACACCAGTTGGGTGAAATACAAAGGAAAGGTCTTCTCTTTTGTAAAAGATCTGAAGTGTTCACTTCCCATGGTACATTTCCCAACAAAAAGCCATTATCTTTGGGGGAACCGGCCTACACCAAATTTACTTTGAAGGGAAAACCTGTTGAGAGGGAGACTGACAAAGGGACTTAAAAAAAGAAGCACAAGAAAAGGTCCCTTTGGGCTGAGGAACCCAAATCTTATTGTCTGGCTTAGACGGTTCCAAACAAACTTGATTCAAGAGACAGAACAGATTAGATAAGGAATTAATTTCCCCATCCCTTAACCCCCTACGAAAACCAAAGTCCCAATTTGGAGCCAAAGGTGTACCCTCAATTGTGATACAGTTTGAAATGACCTCATTTTTATATAGACACAGAGAAAAGTGAAGGGAAAAAGTCCTTTAAAGGAAGATTACTGACCCAAATATCCTCTCAAAACCGGACACTGTTCCCAGAGCAAACATCACACCTGACAAACCTGAGAAACTGAGGAAGAACACTGTGAATGGCTTTCCAAGGTGTTGTCAAAGTAGCCTGCCCTGATACACCAGCATCCCACCCATTCTCTATATGTTCTTGGCCACAGGAGATCACTAGTCTTTCTACTGTGTTCTAGTCCCATTTGCTAAGTTAGCCCAGACCAAATTAGACAAGGAGCAACAATTTGGAGACAGATTCCCATCATACTTAGATTTACTAAATTATCAGCTTTCTGTCATCCAACATTCTAAATTTGAAATAACTGCTAACAGTAGCAAACCATTCCTTGATAGAACAGCTAGCAACATGTCCATTCCAAAAATAAATAAATAAATAAACCATAGACCTGGAAACGTAGAAACCTGAACAGCTCTAGTTGATTCTTTTTCATTGCTCCAGTGAAGCTTTTACTAGCAATATCCACTTGATTAAACATATTAACAAAAAATTGTGCAAAACCTTCTACAATAAAAGGAGCTTTTTGACTCCTCAGAATCATGTCTTACATTGTAAAATGATATATTTAATTACATCAGTTGTCTGGATCATCAAGACTAGACATGAAAATTACACTGCATTTTACTGCTACATTAAGGTTGAGATACTAATTAAAGAAACTTTTCTGGAGCAAAACAAATAAACTGTCCAGTATCACAATAACTAAAAAAAATTGACCCAACTTAAAGTTTGCAAACTAGTTCTTTTGGTATTAAAAAGATAAAAAATCAGAGGTACTGCAAAAACTCATTGATATATCAAAAGACTGAACCATGTAAAGAAACTCTTAAACAAAGACATGACAAAATATTCAACTTACATGGATACTGTAAAATAATGAGAGAATCAGACGTTGTGCTTCAATCTGATTTCCGGGCCCAGACAAATTTAGTAAACCTTGTCCATGAACTCCCAGATTTGCATTAGAGTGTATGACAGATGATTCCTGTCATGGTTAAGCATGTAACATGTGAGTGCATTATCAAACAACCTTCTGGAGAAAACGGCAAACATAGAATGACTAGAATACCTTGAGAACAATCAAATTGCTAGATTCAAGCAAAGACGTGGCAACCATTGCATCCCCACCACCATCTATGACCATCTTGGAATTCCACATCAATAGCATTTTTACGGACATACGCAAAGCCCCATATACCTAAACTTAATTGAAAGTAGTAAAAAAACACGTCATTAACTAATTATAACACTAACAGAAGGGAAAATAGGATAAACTGAAGATCAAATAAACAAACTGTAGGCAAAACAGTGTTGAAAATTAATTACAAGAATCATATGAAACAAATTAACAATGACAATATATATGAAGGTCTAAAGCCTTTTCTAATAAAAAGATATATCATCCAGTATTTTAGATGATATAACATCATTGACTAAGAAGAATGCTTCAATAGCAAAATCAAGAAGAAATTTTAACAAAACTAAAAAAATAACAGAATCAGTAAACAATAATTATACTGACATCAAACAAGAGATAAAGAAATAATAATTTTTAATCGGTAAAAAGAATCTAAAATGAGTAAAATAGTAAGTTAGAAACATAAATTAATAATAACCAAAGAGAATTATGTTAAAAGAAAATGAATATGCAAATAAAAAATTTGAAGGTCCACGATAACCCAAGAGAATTATCGGTTTCTATTTTTCCATTGTTAACAAATAACCAGTGCATTTTACAAAGAAAGCGGTGCACAAAGCAGAAAGGAAATGCTTCTGATAAAAATAAATAACAAAAAGCAAGAAAGAGTTTTGCACAATATTATTATTAACATCTCCAAAAACAAGTGTCAATCTTTCCCATAAGATGCCCTATCTGCATTTTTCTGAAATCTTTCTAATTAGAAAGCCAACCAAAATTATAGAACCAACATCATGATAACCCCAAAAGGGCAAAAGAAAGTCTGAAAAGATCCTCCTATAAACCCCATTTCAAGCAAATGAACTGCACCCCAAAGAATATGAATCCTGAGGGGGGAAAAGAGCCATGAGATACAAACCTCATATTCTTAAGGAAACGTTACCTTAGAATGGCAACAACAACAATCAGTTAAAATGAATTTTTTATTCCATCCATGTTCCTTATTATGAAAATGAGCCAGCATCCTGGATATGCTGTTAGAAGATATTAATTTCATAGTTCCATATGCCCTAGAAGTATACTTCTGATAACGTGACCAAGTTTTGCTGACTTCACTGGTGATAATAGTAAACATATTTTTTTGTTAAAATATGTTTTTTTCTTCCTCAAAAGGGTCATTACCCAATGATGGCCATCCAAGGTCTTTTTCTCCTATTAATAACAATGAAAAAATATCATTTAAATAACAGAGAGGAGGAAAGCAAGGAGATGAAAAAGCAAATGTGGAACAAATGGACTCTCCTGGCATTGACACTGAATCCTAGAAATATAGAATTACTTGACCCCATGATCAATTAAAATGATAATGCAGCTTATTAGGAGTGCGACTCAATTTATAATGCCAATTATCATTTAACTGCACAAAAAAGTTAACCACTTATGTGAAAAACAAACACTCACAGATTACCTTGATTACCGAATCACTCATTAAAAGCTCTTCTGCCATAAGTTCAAACTCTGATGAAGGATAGTGTGCTAGCCCAAAGCTCAAAACTCCACCACACAATAGACTAAGTTGCCCCTGGACCTATATATTGCACAGCAAATGAAGAAGCTTAAACCCCATTGAAACAATTGGTTTTATTCTCAAAATTGTTGTTCTCATAAACCACAAGAAATACATATTGCAGTCAAACAGATTTCAAGGATGCAGCTGATTAAAAAAAACGGATTTCAAGGATGCTTGATATAATAATTGGAAGGAGTTACTCCTTAATTGCAACTAAAATTATGATTCCTTGTTATGAATAAAACCTAAGCAAAACAGCCATACTTTTTCTTTTTTTTGAAAAGGTAAGGTAATATTACTTCTGAAGAAACACATACAAATGAAGGAGCAAACAAGACTGCCTCCACCACACAAACAGCATCAGATGTCCCATAAACTAACTGAATTTAGAATCAGGAACATGTTCTGATTTCTAAACTCAGGAACAACTGATAACCAAGAAGCTAGTTTAGCCATAATACAATTGATCAACTCATCAGAACTTTTACAAAGAGCACTAAAAACTCTGTTATTCCTCTCAGACCAAATAGTGCTGATCACTGCTGCGGGAATGGTCCTCCAAATGATTTTTCCTCTTTTAGAAAGACCTGGAATATACCAGCTGTGTAGAAGTTCCTGAATCGATCCTGGCATCACCCAGTAAATGCCCACCGCATGAAAGAAGTGATCAGCAACACAAGCACCAATGCACCATAAACCATACATACGACTTCTAAGCTGTACATCAATACAAGTTTTTCCTTATTTATCAAAAGAAGAAGAAAACGAAAAGAAAGGTAGGAAGAAAGAATTGTGATTTGTGAAACTATATACTCCATCAGAAATAACAGTTCTGAGGTGTTCCCTACACAAAACAGTTGTTTCTATTTATTTTCAGATAGAAGATTTGACACATAAATCAATATCACCAAATTTTCTTATATATATTATGTGTTTCCATGCTTTAAACAACTCCTTCATGTGCTCCCTTCCCCTAATCCAAAAAAAAAAACTCATTTGACCCCTGCAGTCTGCCCAACCCTCATCCCTTTCTGGGGTATGTTTTAGTTGAAGTTGAGACTTCAGAGTACATATTAACCATTTAAAATTGAACTAAACATAAACACAACTTCCAGTTCTAGTTGTTACAAAAGTTACATAAATGAGGGTATTCAAGGATTCCAAGGAATAAACTCCTTTTCATTGTTTTTCTTCAACTCAACTCAACTAAGCCTTGTCACAACTATATATGAATCCTGTTCCATCATTCCACTTTATTTATCGACATATCCGGTCTTTAATTATGGACCCTCAAATCATTTCTAACTGCTTCAACCCATGTCCATTTTGGTCCCCAACTCTTCTAAACCCTTCAATTTGCATCAGATCACTTCTTTTTACTGGTATTGTAGATGGCCTTCTCTACATGTGACCAAACCATCCTGGTCTACTTTTTTTCTTTTGAAAAGCAACAAAGGGAAAATATTCATTAAACACCAGGCTGCACACAAAAAATACAGCCAAAAAAGCATACATTGCTGGGCCTCCCAAGAGACCAGCCACAACTGACAACAGAGCAAAAATAAAATACAACAAAGCGAAAAACAGTACTGATTATTATCACCATCTTTTGTAGGTTTCCCACTTGTCCATCTCAACATTTGCATTTTTGCTACACTAATTTCTCAGACATGTTGTTTCCTGACTGCCCAAAACTCTGATCCACGCAACATTGCTGGCCTTATAACCATTTTATAATTTTTTTCTTCTAGCCTAAGAAGTATTCTCCAATCACATAGGATTCCAGATGCAACCCTCCATTTTGCCCATCTCACTCTAGTTCCACAAGTGACATCCTCCTCAACCTATTCCAGTCGCCCTTGTTATGGATTATCAAACCTAGATAATGAAAAAGATCATATTGAGATATCTCCTGGTCTCCTATTTTCATTTTTTTCTTACCTACCAACTTTGCATGTATTAAATTCTGAGTTCAGATGCCAATGACAACTGGAATAAGATTATTTTATTTCATTCCAACTCCATAAACCAATTTTAGAATTTTCAGTCTTGACTCACAAAGTTAATTCAAATAAATGATTTCCAAATAAATGGCTCAACCTTTTTTACTTTTTTATCATCAACAAATCAAAGAAATTTTATATATCTATTTTTGAACAGTAACAATATAAAACAAAAACAATTTTATTTATTTATTTATTGCTCTCAAAAAAGTAACAATATAACTTTATTACTGTCTAAAAAATAATTATATTGCATTACAGGTGCCTTGCACCCCTTTACAAAATGTTAGCCTTGGCCTACCCCTAACATTTCCTCAACTTGGTATTGAACCCCAATACATGCTGTTTCTATAAACCACAGATTTTGCTAAGCTGTCAGCCTAATGAATAGCTAACCTTGGAGTCCATCTCAATTGAGCTTCAGTTTCTATAGATAATTTTAGATTTAGAATCTCCATCAATATATTCCAGTACTTCCAAGGTCCCACTTCCATGTTCTTTAACCAAGCAATTACAGCTTTGGAGTCTCCATCAACCTTTAGTCCATTGTATCCAAGTGACTTTGGCAACCTAAAACCATGTAGCACTGCCCATAATTCTGCTGTAACTGAATCTCCACTCCCTATTGGTCCTGAAAGGATTGCTTGAATGTATTCCTCCCAATTCCTAAAAGCTCTCCCAATTCCAGATGGCCCTGGATTTTATTTATATAATATAAAAGTATAAGTAACCCCCTCCTATAAGAGCAATGAAAGAGGGGATAATACAAAAAAGTGCCCAGCACTGACTAAATCAAAATCCCATCTTTTAATCTCAGATCATATGCCCAAAACTAAAGATCATGATAAGGATGGTGCAAATTTAATGAACAGCAAAGGCATAACTATGCAAGTTATCTTGCAAAGCAGTCCTCTGACTCAACCAAAAGTGAAAGGAAAAGGTTCAAATAAAGAGATGTACAAATAAAGAGATGTACCTTTCTAAAGTACACTCAGTACATTCTGTATAAAAGCATGGTTGCTTTCTTATTATTAATAAAATATCTTTGATAGTTACTGATCAAAAACAAGTTCAAATAAAGATATCTAAAGGGCTCATGTAAGGGTTATATCTTTACTGACCTGCACACGACTCCAGAGCAGAGGAACAGCAGCTTTAGCATTATTTCGGACATAAACATTTGTCCATAGGGGCTGATTAGGAAACTCTAAAAGAAGTGTATCAGTGTTTGTTGACATGTTGTGATTGCTAACAATAAGGCTTCGAGGAACAGCATCATAAAAAGTCCCAGCAGCACCAGAGTTTTCTGGACAGCCAAAGCTTCTTCCTCCTGCAAACAAGGAAATTTTTGAAGAAGAATAAGAGTAAATTAAAAGGGCAGAAGCACAATATTATACAGGAAAAACCAAATTTTTTGGGAAACTCTTTGATCAAATGATCAGCATCCAGCATTTAAAACCCCATAGAATAATGGTGATAATGACAACAATGAAAATGACAAAATTATGGTTTCATTGTGTTCACAAGTTTTAGAGGATTTTAAAGGCATTTTCTTGGTGAGTTCATTGTATGACTCCTTTCATTAGAATTATGGTGGAACAGTATTATCACATAATGTTGTTAATTAATTCAACTATTCCTCCATGAGACAAGGCTTTTGCATGATGGTGTTGAGGGTTGTCTCTTGATGGTGGATCTTGAGAGCCAGGTGCTCTAATTTGGTAATAGGCGCATCATGCCCTAATGCAATGGAGAATGTCTAAACCATTTTCTTTATAGTGGTTCTCTACTGGTAACTATCAAGAACATCCTAATGCAATGGAGAGTGCCTAAACCATAATGCCCTATGACTCCTTTCAGTTGCCTTGGGGAACCAAGGCCCAGATAAAAACCCACATAAGAAAGAGATGATCAGACACTCCTCAGCATACCTTCAACAGCCTAAGAAGCAGCATCCAAGAACCACAACCAAAGCAACTTTAAAATAATTGTGAAGAAAAAAAAAAGTAAATTCAGTCCCCCAAATAAAAGCAGCAAGATAACTATCAAAAAGAACAAGCAGCAAGATGTCGACCATGATTTCACTAGGCTTCAAAGACCACAAGAAGAAACAATCTTTTGTTGAACAAGGATTTTTAATCAGTACTATAATTGGACAAGTTAAGCCCCCCCCCTTCTCCTTTCTTCCACTTTAATCCCCCACATCAAATTTCATAAAATTATAACTGGTGTTAAGACCAGATGTTAGTTTCCTCAAGAACCTCAACTGCCTCTTTGGATCCAACATATTTATTTCTAAACTCTTTAGACAGTTCATTGGCCTTTTAGAAAATAAGACCCCTTCCTGCAGACCACAGGCTTTCCTTGAAATACCATAACCTTTGCTAAAGCCTTGCATTTTCAAGAATGCAATGTTCATAAATCATCAAAATGATTGAGATGTTAGAAATTTTGGGGAAAAACCATGAAAGTGCAAGCTAGCGTGCTGATAAGGTCTTTCGATGTTTTTCCTGAAAAATTGGGGATTGAATCACACCTGAGACCAAATTATACTGGCAAAATTTGTCAGTTTTTGTCCAAAGTTTAAAACCACATTGAGGCCACTTCTGAATTCCCATGATTAATTCTTTCATTCCTAGTCTTGCCACTCATCTAGCTTTACATTCTAATCTCTGCTACATTTATCTTATGGGCATGCTGCTCCTAGATTTCCCAACACTACTGACATTATAGCTTGTATTACAAAAATTCCTGCTTAGTCCGATTGATATGAGTCAATCACAGAATAACACAAACACCAATTCACCCATACTGCTCAAAAAGTTAATGAGGGACATCCTTTTTAACCATGGTCTATGGGCTATAGAACCAAGGTATATTAGAGAGGGTTCTTTGTTTCCTGACCAATAACCTTATAAATATGCATTTTGCTCTATGTATTGTGTTTAATCCTACTAATCTTAAGACCTGCTGGATATAAAGCATTTTATTCTATGTGTTCTGTTTAAAAACAATTTAGACTTCTTAATTGGTACCACGTTGTAGGCAAATAAAATACAATAAGGAACCTCCTCAATAGGCACCAGTGAGTCTCTGAAATCTGAAATTACGGCAGTTGTGGAAGGGGTAAGTAGAGCAAGGGAGCTGAATGTGAAAATACTAAATGTCAAAGGTGATCCACAAGTGGTGATTAACTGGTTGCTAAACAAGGGAAATGAGTTGTCGGTATACAAAACTGAACTAAAAAGGTTTAAATGGATAACCAGATTCATGGACATTAAAATTCAATGGGTGCACAGGAATGCTCACAGCATGGCTTATTCTTTGGCAAAACAGGGGGTTGAGAGGAAGCAAATGTTTTGAGATCAGTTGTAATGCTTTTGGCTTGGAGATAAGATGTTTTATCTCCAGTTGCCTTATGTACAGTTGTACACACTGTAACTCTCTTAATATTTAAATGGAATTTACAGTTGTAGATCAAAGAAAAAAAACAAGGAACCTCCTCAAGCAAATGCTTATTCATCTCATCAGTCACCGATGCAAAAGTCTGGAATACAGGCTAGGGCTGCAAGTCAGGTTGCCCGAACTGAAGAATTTCAACTACATCAGGCTCGAGTAAGGGTGGCCCATTGAGAATTTGACAAATTCCCAACCCAACCTTACCCAGGTTGCACCCCTAACACAGGTTGACCCTATTTAGACCATTTTTAACTGGAAACTCTCTTGGAAGTTGGATCATCCCAAATGTTCTAAATTAGTTGTTGCAACATCATACATACCCTTAATTAGGTCTCAAAACACTTCTTTTGAAGATAAAATAAGAAACTTAAATGGCATTATCTCTCGATTGATTTTTGTTCAAAAGGTTACTCAAATGAAAATCATCCAATAAATTATTTTCTTCCTTTTTTTGGTTTTGAGAGAGAGAGAGAGAGAGATTACCATGAACAAATATCTTTGGGTCATCATGCCTACTGTAGATGTCAATAGAAACTCTTCCACCACCACCTCCACCAAAGCCATTGCCACCAGAGGCACTTATCCTTCCATTTCCATTCCTGCCCACCAGAAAAAAAACAAAAAAAAAGCATTAATTATATTTCCTATATAGGAGATGCCTAAGAAGACTTTTGAATACAATCATACACATGTACACCTATTTGTATATGGTTATATAAAATAGGCATATGCTCTTTTATCAGTTCTACAAGAAGATCGTTGCATAGTGTACAACATTTTATATATGTTGTATCAAGGAACTGTTCAACCTAAAAGCTTAAGCTGTTAGGTGAGGTCCCTGGATAGGTTTTTATTCTCTAACATGCCCCCTCACGTGAAAGCCCATCGGACTTCAAGAGTGGACAAGCACAAGTCCACCCATACCTTGTGCTGAAACTTAATTAATTATAATGGGGATTGGGGGCTACAAAGATCGAACACTAGACCACTTGGTAAAACAGGCTCTAATACCATCTCAAGAAACCATTCAACCTAAAAACTTAAGCTATTAGGTGAGGTCCCTGGATAGGTTTCATTCTCTAACACGCTGAAATAGAAGGTAAAACTCATATGAGGATAGTAGTCCTCAAAGAGTTTCAACCAGTGTTTCAAAAGGTTACCCTAAGCTCATAGAAGAGGCTCGTTTTATAGGGTTCGCTTCACATGGCTTATTACCATGTTTGGGTGAAATAACGATGAGTTTTTTTCTCTCAAAAAAAATTGTTGTTAAACAGGTAATTTACTATGCATTTGGTTGTACTTGTACTTACAATGTTTAGAGTCCAAACAATTTAGTGTATGTTGGGCTTGAATGTAGAAAGCTACAACCTTCAAAAATGGTCTCACTTTGTTCAATATGTTCTTTAGTTGCACATCTGGATTTTAAAACACTGGTTTGGTAAGGACGTTATAGTATTAGGAATAGGCTGGATACTTCAAATTCACAATGCCATGGAATGCACTTAAAATGTCAGAGACATGTAGGGAATTTATACTTCCATCCAGTTGTCTCCTCTGGCATGAAAATCATGATATATAGTAGCTTCATGTAAAAGGAAGATAATCATAAAACCAGGCCTTAAAATACTAACATATCATTTCCATAAATCTTATTAAACAGTGTATGCTCAGCTACGTTGTCCATCCCCCTATCCTACTTAAAGTATCAAAACACAAGCTCAAAAGTGTGCATTGTGGTCATTCAACAGACCACTCTTATAGTAATCAAATCAATAACTGTCATGGTCAAATTACTCCATTATTAAAGATGTAGACGTTTCTATTTTCCAAAAGGTCACCAAGGGAAACTCCACATGATTCTTGCAATGTTACCCAAGGGGATGGTATGTCATGTCATCTCCAAAGAAAGTACAATAAGTCACCACAAATGGAATAATGAATATCAAATCTAACCAAGAAGAGCAGTGAATATATCAAAAAAGGGCAAGGTTCCATGGACCTATGAAAAAAAATGACCACTAAACTCCATAGACTAACCCTATGATCATCCTCCTTGGGGAATAAAATACCTCTTAAGATACCCCAGTATGAAATTAGAAATTCAAGCAATGGTGGAAGATAAAGTATTGACACATCTAGTGAAGGATAAGGATCTATTCTCATTAATCAATTAAAGTCATCGTTTAAGCTTCCAGTGGAGTCGAATTATTTCCACTGAATGTTTTCATTTATGTGGAAATCAAAGTAAAACCCTTCATTCAAAATTTCAGCAGCGATGAGTGGTAACAGAGGCACTGACATAGTTTGGTATCCAATGATTGTGTACCATACTAAAGTGGTTGACTTATTCATACAAACAATGATAGAGGTTAAACCAAAATATCATAATCTCAGCTACTTACACCATTACGTAGTATCTGGCTTTATTCAATGAACAATATCAGTGCAACATCCAGGTATAAGAGAGACAGAAGGCACAACGAAATTTTTTTTCATTAATTCCTTCAATCAAACAGCAGGCAAATAAGCATTATCAGAGAAATAGAAATTAAGGGTAGAGGGTGGAAGGCAAATAGCTGTATATGCATTAATAAGTTACTGTAATAAAGTAATGAGGGAAGAGATTACATCTTATGAGCCTTGATGCAGATGCTGCCACCAGAACCTCCTCCACCTTTGAGACCGGCATCGCCTCCATCAGCTAAAACAGTTCCATTGATGTCAAGAGAATTAATTATCTCGAGCTTAATCCGCCCACCACCAGCACCACCATAGTCCTCCGCTTTGCTAGTCGTGCCACCCTTACTACCATAACTCCACGGAGTTGTGAGTGATGACCAAGAGTAAGCATCGCCACCCCACACATCATCTGGAAGCTTTGACTTATCCGTTAAGCAGCAAGCACCTCTGCCCCCATGCCCTCCACCAGCCCCATCAATACCCTGCGGAGTGCCACTTGTCTGAGCAGGGGGAGCACCAGCCAAAGCTGTAGTATTGATTGTGGAACCGCTAAGCAGGCTCGCGTTGTTTGCTTTCAAAATAAATGTTCCCGACACAATAGACGCATTCTCGCCCAAAGTAAAATCTCCGCTAATGTTGATGGTAATTGAACATCCAGCAACCGGGCAACTGAAGGATACGCCGGGAAGGATTTTTAAACTGCCATTCCCTTCTATGTACACATCATCCTCGAGCTGCAAGTCGGTAACGAACTGACAAGAAGTATTCAGCGAACCCACTCCCTTGAGATCTTCCTCACAAGATACCGATGGAGGATGCGGCGGAGGAGGAGGAGGTGAGGGAGGGGAGTAATCATGACCGAACAAATCGAAGTCGGAATCAACGATAGAGAAATCGTCTGTTGAAGCATAAATAAAACCAATTTGGGACAAAAAGATAGGGCTGGTAGAAATGATGAATCCGTGAAAGACGAACAAATGAACGACCCACAGAAAATCTATCGCCATCCACAGGGATAGGAATTCATCACAGCAAAAAGACTAATAAATCTGAAATGAACTGCATCTGAACTGCCGGAAGTAACAATGGCACCAGAACCAAGACGAAAACCCTAGAAATCCCACAAAAGGGGTGCCTGCAAAAAACCACGGAAACTAGGAAACCTGTCTGTTAAATCTAACTGTTGGCCCCGAATTGATATTGTTAATTAACAAATCTAAGGAACCTAAATCCCACCTCCAAACCAGAGAAACAGTAGTAAAAATGGTTGAAAATTGTAAATCTATACCACCTTTTTCAGATGATATTTCTTTCTTAATAGTATTGTTAAAAGGAATGTGTAATAACAAAAGGGGAACCAAAGACGGATAAAGAGAACAAAAGGAATTCTTTTTTATGTTGTTGAAAAGCTTTTTATTTTTAATTTTCCTTTTTTGGTTTTAATCGCACTATCGTCGTTACGGTAATAACCATACCACCCTAAGGCTGTAATGGTGATTTCTGAATGGTGATAAGGGGTGGGGCCCCGTTCCCTGATTGGCTTAGGCTGAGCAGAGCTGTCAATCAAGTCAAGTGTTTCTGTTCCGCTCCCTTCTTAAATCTCTCAACTAAACCGGAAGTCCCGAACCGAACCGAGTGGCGGCTGGGGAATGCCTTAGCTTAGCTACCAAGCAAACCCAGATCCAGATGTTTGTTTTGGGGACGGGCCTTACAGGACGAGTCCTACTGCAGAAGAATTTCGATGGCCCAGAGCAAGGTGGCAGCCCAAACTCTCAACGTGGTCGCACTCACGCGGTCACGCTCTTGTCCAGGTGAAAAGTTTCGGCCATGGCAGCTCCACGTGGTAAAATTGAGCCCTCTTTTTAGGGGCCAGAGTAGTCTGAGATGTAGACGGGAGGAGGACCACGTAGTCCTTAAATTTCTGGGCAAGGCGGAATGGTCATTTTCCTGTTCATTAAAATTTTGAAAAATCCAGCAGCTTGATATAACCGAGGAAAACAAAGACTCCAATCTCCAACGACCTTTAAATGTGGAGTAAATGCCCATAAAAGCCTAGACCTAGAGTCACGTAAGCTATCATGGACGGTACTGATTAGCCATGTCATCCCTGGATTCGATAATATCCCTGATTATTAACTTTTACTCTATATTCTAGAATGGCATTTGCCCTAACGTCAAGGGTTGGATGGCTGTGGGGCACATATATTCGATGAGTGACGTGGGGCGTTATTATTGGTTATACAACTACTAAGAAGGCCATTAGGGAGTTTACATCTCCAACCCACAACGTCCCACAGCACATCTTTGCCGTGTATTGGGAACATTTTCCAATGATGACACCATTGATTCTAGTACTATCATCAAAAGATATTCCTAATACATGATGGGGATGTGATATGGAACGTTATGGGGAGAATTTGTTCTTCACAAAGGGTGCCTCACACGCACATCCTACTATGCATTGGGAATATATTCTATATTTTTAAGTTATTATTCACAGGAGATGTTCCCAATACACGGTGGATGTGGATGTAAGGCACCCCAAGTGTAAGGAACTGATCGGGGGCTGAGATTGTAAACTCGCTATCACATTCATTTACTCTTAGATTATTCATATATGATAGGTGCAAGAAAATATTACAGGAGATGGAGATCATATGGTGGTTAAGTATTTACCTAATAGTAATCTTTTTAAATAACCATACAGGGCAACATAGAACAATGATAGTAAGTTCCCAAAAATCAAAACAGCATATAACAATTAAATCCCTATAAGTGAAATTATTATGGACTTCATTAGAATGCACATGATTAGCAAGACAATCTGCAACCACCTAATAGTGATTATGACATTATATCCTCGTAATTTCGAATTTTATTTTTGAAGAAAGGTAGGGGTGAGTATGGATCCTGAATTGAATCTGGGTTAATTTTAAAAATTTTGAATTAAAACCTATTATTGTAAAAAAATAAGTTTCTAAGGCCATCTCTATTATTGATGGTTTCAAGGTAGATTCCAAAGTCTACCCATGGAATCTGTTTTTATAAAAATAGTGGTAATAGAATCACAATCATAAAATGTTTAAACTTGATTTTTAATTATGATAATATATAAATTCAAAATTTATATTATCTTTGTTTGTTAAATTGAGTAATTTAATCTTTAGATTATTATTATGTTAATATATAGTTTAAAATTTATCATTTATGATCTAAGTGTAAATATTAACTTCTCCATTACTTATTGTAAGCATTCAAATATTAAATAGAAGCAAAAGTATAATGGTGAAGTGAGACCATAATCTTTACATCCTCAAAGGTTCCAAACTCAATTACACCAAAGCTAGTTCTTCAAGTTGATTTGGGTAGATCCATCCCTAGACCCTAAAAATAGCAGCCAAGCTTAATTCCAAGAATTAGATACTGAACCCTATCCAATAAAATATTGCGCAAGGTTAGTTCAAGGCTAATTTGAGATCAATTACGTTTGGTTCCGGGGTAGAACCTACCAATTTAATCACCCATAATAAATAGTAAGTCTCTTATTAATACTATATCTACTGGTGCCTGTTTTTTTTTTATGACAAATGGTTAAATTTTGTAGGTAAATTATTTAAAGTACCCCTAAGATTTTTTTTTTTTTAATAATTGAAGTATCCATAAGGGTGCAGCCTTTCAAAACCTTTGTTGTAAGTCATGCCATTAAATTGAACAATTTGACTTTTTTACCCCTAACTATTCTTCGAATTTTTAAAACATTCCACTTTTTTCGCATTTCTGCCACTCAAACTTCGGCCAACGAAATGACAACACGGTTCGATCACCCCGATTTGAATGCTATTGCAAGTATGACTGTAGAGAGAGAGACTTCAACCATCAACCCCATCTCTTGCAATCGTATCGATCAAACGCTTCCGCAGTCCATCATTGCAGCTTTAACATTCAATAATCCACCGCTGATCGCATACTCCATTCAAACTTGATCAAAGCAAAACTAACCCAGCCGGATGCGTCTCAATCAATTGATCCGTACGTATCAACTAACTTCATCAGTTGAATCCATCTGAGTTTTATAGCAATAGCGCGGTTGGCCCTCCATTGCTAAACGAGTTAATTTCTTGGGCTAAATAAAGGGTAAAATTGGGTTTTTAAAGTATGTCACGCCGGTGCTACATACAAATGAATTGTGGCTTTTTTTGCTTTATAGGGTTATACAATCGGGGTAGTTAATCCCCTCCCTTGACGTAGTATTTGTCACATTATGTAATAGTACAAAGTAGGTTTTAAGAGGCTCCATTTGATTTGTGGGATGGGATGAGAAAAAGGAAATATTTCAAAAATATTATTTTTTCTATTATTTGTTTCGAGGGAAATAGAGGGATGGGGTGAGAAAAACATGTGATGAAGGATCCCAAAATCATGTAATCGGGATCACACCAAAACATTGTGACCCCGGTGGAAAAATTCGAAAAAAGTCAAGAGCGGCAACGAACCAGCGATGGTTCATTCTCTCTCTCTCTCTCTCTCTCTCTCCTTCATTTTCGTTTTTCTCCCCTGTTACCATCGAACCAAACATTGTTCATTGCCTTCCCCTTTCAAATAGAGGAGGCGGTGGTGGCAAGAGAACTAATGCGTAAAGACGATTTGCTACCATCGAACAGAGGAGGTGGCAGTCTGTTACCATTGAACCGGACCCTGTTCTCTGTCTCTCCCTCCATCTTCCTCTTCTCTCTTATCCTCACCTTCTTCTTCTTCCTATTCTTCTCGTCTTCCTCCCCTTTTAATTTCTTTCTCTTGCTTTCTCAACACTCCTCTCTCTCTCTATTGGTGTGTTTTTTGTTTCATCGTTAGGCCATTGCAACTCCTCTTTTTGTCAAAGATAATAGGGGAGTTGCAGTCATGGAGCTCTCTTCTTCATCTTACATGAATCCAACGAAGAACCAGGTCGTGATAGTACTTTTTCTATTATTTTCCCATATATAAAATCAAACAATGGAAAGTTAAATTTTTACACCTTCCCATCCCATCCCATCCCACCCAAATCTTCTCACAAACCAAACGGAGCCTAAAGGGTCCTTAAAGTATTTTCAGAAACCTCATAAGTATCTTAAGTAATTATTTTAATTAATTTAGATTTGATGTCAAAGATATGTTAAACCGAAAAAAGGAACGTTTAAATTTTGGATTTTCTTTTATAATCAAGTTTTGGACTTTGCTGAGCTGCTTTGAAGAAGCCACTAAAAGAGGCTTCAATGAACAACCTTCTTTTCTTTTTCTTTTCTTGTTTTTTTTTCTTGACAGAGGCTGAAGGATAATATATTTGGGCTTCGGGCTTCACAGTTCTTCCGAATCCAAAAGGCTACATGGATACCAAACACCATCTAATTGATTAGGATGCCTAAAAGGTCAATGAACCACTGGTTCAAACATCCACTCTGGTCCAAGTCTAACAACACTGCTCTAGTCACTCATAGCATATGAGAAGATCTAATATGAAATAAGATTATGGGGTGCAATTGCAGAGATCACATTAGTGTCCCACACGGCGTACTCCACATGCACATCTCAGTATGCATTGGAAATATCTCTGGTACTTGTCATTGGGAGGTGTTTTCAATATACTTATACACTACTGGGATGTGCTATGGGGTGCCGATGTGAACTCGTAGTTGCATGGAATGCCTAAACATTGTAAGGGATGCCTAATGAAATACATTATAAAGGGGTAATTGAATGGTGCAAGCGGAAGAGTGAAATAGTAAACCTTAGGTATAAGTAGAGGAATTGGGCCGGATTTGTTCTTCACACTGATCTCACAGCCACATCCCATCATGCATTGGGAACACCTCTCATGAATAATAATTTACAAGCACAGGAGATGTTTCCAATGTGTGTTGGGACATTTTATGAGGTCTGTGTGAGGAGCGCTCAGTGAGAAGCAGATCCGAACTCTAAGTAAAGAGTGGTTGATCACATGTAATGCAATGCAATGGATGTAATTCCTAGAAAAATATGATATTATACATTAAGAAGGTGTTTGGGTATAGTGGCATTGCATTGTCAACTTGTCCTTGCATTTTGAGTTGATTAATACAAATTAAAGAGATATATTTTTATTTGAGATGTTTTGAATTGATCAGCATAAATTGCTATTCCTACCTAAAATGTTAAATTTGATGGTTCTCACAAGTTGCAACCCATAAATATGTATTTTTATTTAATTAAAATGGCATCGATATATGATATAACAACACAAATCTCTCACAAATTTGTATTGGTCAACTCAAAATGCAATGATAATAAGCACCATGAACTAATATAATTATTTATTAGTTCTCATGATTTTCCTGAGTTCAAATCA